CCGCCCCCCCAAGTATGTTAGGGACAGCTCCACTCAAACAAGCCTACGAATATGTCTACGTGTTCTACGAAGTGTTTAATAAAGGACTGTGCAGTGAGAAGCTGATTAGCTCCTTATGATCTGCACGCCCTCTCTCGGCACGCGCTGGCATCCAGACCCCTTGCCCCCAGTTTAGCCGAGGAGACTAGCTGGGGATGCTCTCTGTCCCAGCCCCTGCCCTCGGCCTCGCCCCGCGCGTCCCCACTCCCACCCCGAGCCCTTGGGGCGCGCTCACCCCGCTCTCCTCGGCTCTCCGCAGGCGAGCAGCAGTACTCTGTGCCGCCCCCCGTCTATGGCTGCCACACCCCCACCGACAGCTGCACTGGCAGCCAGGCCCTTCTGCTGAGGACGCCCTACAGCAGGTAGGAAGGCGCTCGCCACGGTGTCTGGGGCGCGCGAGCCGGCGGGAGCGGGAACGTCCGACGCGGGCAGCCCCGACCGCGGGCAAGCAGGGTCCTGGAGGCCAAGGACACCTTTAGCTACTTAAAGCAAATTAAAGCAGATCTCCAGGCTCTGATTTGAAAGAAGTAGGTTTCCTCGTCTCCTGGTGTTCTTGGTTGTTTGTTTGTTTGTTTGTTTGTTTGTTTGTTTGTTTTAATATAAATGAGGGCGATTACTGTTTGAGCTGAAGAAGAGTGGGGCTTCAAGAAGTTATTTTTTAAAGGGCTCCTTATTTTTTAAAGTCCTTTTTAAAGGACTTGAACTCGCTCGCGACCAAAGATTAAACATGGACTCGACTCGCACTCCGGTCTTCTCGCGTCTCAGCCTCCTCCTCGCCCACTAGCCACACGGGCCGGCCTTCTCTGGGGGTAATTCGAGGGCGCGTACACTCTGACCGCAGCCTTCTCCCTACCCCTGCGCCCCAGAGTGTCCCGCTGCGGCGGCGCTCGGTGGGCGTGGTTCCCAGCTCCAGGCTCCGGGCAGGGACCGGACCCGGACTGTGTGCCGGGCTGCGGTCGGGTCGCAGCAGCGTCCTCCGGGGACACGGCTCCAGCCCGCGCCCGCCCTCCTTCCCGTTCCTGGGAGGCAGAAGACCAGCTTTTTTTCCTTCCAAGCTTTTTTCCCGTCCCTTGTGCGTTCTCCCGGCTCTCCCTCCACCCTCCACCTTCTCTCCCCCAAATTTATTCTTCAACTTTGGGTGAACTTGGCCGGCATCCCGCTTCTCCGATAGCGTTGCCTAGTAACTGGTGCACACACCGGCGCGCGCGGGTCTGGAAGGTGGAGCGGGGGGAGGGAAGTGGCCGCTCTCGGCCTTCGAGGCGGGGGATTGGGCGCGCATTACCTCATATTCCGCCCCTCCCCCTCCCCCCCC